AGAGAGAGAGAGAGAGAGAGAGAGAGAGAGAGAGAGAGAGAGAGACAGAGAGAGACAGAGACACAGACAGACACAGACAGACAGACACAGACAGAGAGACAGGAGAGACAGAGGGAGAGAGACAGGAGAGACAGAGAATCATAGTTACTTCTATGATTGCACACACACACGTGAGCCCCTCGTGGCTCAGTCCTGCTTGCTAACAATCATCCCCAATCATCCCAGACCCCTAGTCACATACTACTTGTGGTGGTTGAAATGGAAGCCACAGTGCTTCTCTGGGTCCTTTCAAGCCTGTGAGGAAGGGGTTCCGGACACATCCCAATTGTGAAAACTCACAGAGGGATGTTGCGGGTTTGGGAATACAGTTCTAGAGGCAGCTCAGTGCTTGGAAGGAAGCATCTTGTAAAGCACTATGAAAACGTCCTTGTGACATCTGGACTCCACTATTGACCTGACACAGAGCCCCTTCCTGCTGGAAAACTGTTGCCAGAGACTTCCTCCAGTTGCAGTGAAAGATATTCGGTCCAAATATGCCACCTGGACTTTTGTTCTCTGCAAAAAATGGGTGGTGGTGGTGGTGGTGGCGGTGGTGGGTGTGTGAATTGTGACTATAAGGACGACTCTGAAGCTTAGTGTATATTAGGTATAGTAACTACGTAATGCAGTTTCTATGCAATGTGTATTTGTAAGTTTCAGCACTTTGAGAAGCACCCTTAGCAGGTTGTTCCTTCTGTCCCATTCCACCACTGGAGCCGCTGACTATCCTCGCACGTGCATGCGGCTGCACGTGCTTCTTCGTCCTGGGGTGCTCCCAAAGGATCAGGCTGAGTCTGTGGAATTTCCTGGGAACAGCATCATTCTGTGCTGTAGCTTGCGGGATTAGGTGCTTAGTCCTAAGCTTTCCATAATGGTAACAATTGCCTATCCCTCATCCTCTTCAACTAGCTCCACCCAGGGAGACCAGAAAGACAAGGCAAATCATCTTGAGGGGACTTTCCATGGGCCTAGGCTTCAGCACCTCCCTCTTACCCTCCTCCCTCCATGCTGGGAACAAGGTAAACAGTGCAAACTAACCCCTGGTGGAGAACTGGAGAACAGGGTGTTCTGCATTCCGTGGCCATCAGAGGCAGCTGCAGGCTGCACTGAACAGGGGCTCTCCCAGCAGAGAAGAGGCTGGGTTCATCGGCCTACCTGGGAGGAGGGCAGCCATGAGTCACTCACGCTGCTTGCTTCTTCCCCCACATATCTGCCAGAACTATCCTCTTTGTTCTCATCTTATGAAAGGCGGCCTGTCCCTGGCTGGCTCCTCTGGGAAAACAGAGCTGCCTGGGGCTCCACCATGGGGCAGGAGGCAGGGTCACTAGGGAGAGCTGAGGAGGTTTCTAACCATTTAGATGTCCCCACTGCCTAAAGCCACATCCTCCTCTGGATGCTAAAGTAGAGGGTGAAGACTGAACTTTAGAAGCGGGGAGAAACAGTCCAGTCCAATAGCATGCTGAAAATGGGTTAGGGAGCCCTGGGTACCTCCTGAAGCCAGACAAGGAAAGCTGGGACACCAAGGGCAAAAGAGCCACTGTGAGCTTTCCTTTGAAGGCTGGTGGGGCTGGGAGGAAGTGCAAACAGAAATGGATCTCCTGGTGGAGGTGATGGGGTCTCTCCTCCCCAAGTCCTCCTCTATAGTCTTAGAAGCATCCACCATTGCTCATGAGCCCTCCCAACTGATCTGGCTGTCCATCAGGGTCACTGGAACTGGTTTCCAGAGCATTCCCTGGTAAGTGGTCAAAGGGGTTTAGTTTAATTTAAAAAAAATTTTTTTTAAATCACTTTATTCCAATTAACTCACAAAAACATCATGAGGCTAGTTTAAGGGCGTGACTCAGACACCCAGCTAAAGGGAGTTTTGTTTATTTATTTATTTATTTATATTATTTTATTTTTATGTGTATGAGTGTTTTGTCTGCATGTATGTAGGTGTACCTGTATTGTGCAGTGCTGTAGAGGCCAGAAGAAGGTGTCAGTTCCCCTGGAACTGGAGTAATGGATGGTTGTTAGCGACCATGTGGGTGCTGGGAACAGAACCTGGGTCTTCTGTAAGAGCTGACAGTGCTCTTAACCACTGAGTCATCTCTCCAGTTCCCAGTTAAGGGCATTTCATATTAGAGAATGTCTTACCAATCTGCCAGTAGGAGAACTTGTGTGAGGAAGTGAAGTGATACTTCACATTGCTAGTATTGTCTGGGGGATATGCCAAGCCCGGGATCAGATAAGAAGCTGGGGTTAACCTGTCCTCCAACAGGTTCAGTGACTGAAGGTGAGGTCCCTGCTGCAACTAAATAATGCATTTCATTTAGGGATAAGTCTACTCCACTCTTAGAAAGACACAAAATCAACACTGAAAGAACTGATTGGGCCACATGTGTTGTAATGGCAGCCTGTCCTCCCACAGTCCTGAGACAGCTACTAGACCCAGCCAAGAACAAGCAAGCAGTCTGGCTCAGGAGGAGGGAAAGCAGCCTGCTGGGCTCCTGCCACCCATCCTCTCAGACCACCTCCAGGCACGTGACACATCCTCTGAAGTCAGTAGTGTGGCCAGTCCTGAGCACCTGCAAACTTGCAAATCATTCTTCTGATCCTGCTGCTGCAACTAAGACATGGCTTCCAGGATTCTCACTAACATGGCACAAGCTTGCAATAATGGCTTTACCTCTACTGTCCTCTACACACCACAGGCATGCTGTACCTGTGTTCCAGTTCTCATGGATCCCTATACACCAAGCTTCTTCGTGCTTCTTTCTAATAATGATGTTAGTTCATCTTTATTCAGAACGTATGTGTCAGACCCTGTGCTAAGACCTCCACAGGAATTACCTCATTTCAGCTTCACAACACTGAGATAGGTACCGGGTTTGTTGCTGTTGTTGTTTGTCTGCTTTGGTTTGGTTTTTTATCCTGTTTACAGGCATAAAAGTAAGCACAAAAGGTTTAGTGATTTGCATAAGAGCACACAGGAAATGGGTCTGTGTGACCCCCGGGCTTATGCTCTGCTCTGGAGGTTTATTATTTGTTTATTATTTTTATTTTGTATGAATGTATGTATATAAGTGCACCTGTGTTGTATGTATGTGTGAGTATGTATATAAATGCACCTGTGTTGTGCAATGCCCAAGGAGGTCAGAAGAGTGTCAGATTCTCCTGGAACTGGATTTATGGATGGTTGTTAGCTGTCATGTGAGTGTTGGGACTTGAATCCTGGTCCTTTGCAAGAGTAATCAGAGCTCGCAACTGCGGAGCCATCTTCCCAGCCCCAAGCAAGGAGTTTCTTTAAAGGAACAAATAAATACTTAGGGCTTTGCAAGTCACTTAAGCCAATACTTAAGGTCTTGTCTGTCATAGTGTGAAAGCCAGTTACAGATATTGACATAGATATAAATTAGAGCAGTGGCAGATAAATCTTGCCCCTAATTGATCTCTCCACCTTGCCTTCCCACCACACCCTACCTAATGCCCCTAACCCAAGGAAGAGTGAATCAGTGTGCCGGACCACGAGTCTTAAGAAGCACCTGTTTCCCAGAACTGGGTGGAAGCACATTCTTGGTGAAGCATTGTGCAACAGGGTGGAGGGAGGACAGCTGCTTCCGTTGTCTAGGGAAGGCATTGCTCTCCTGCCAGACGCTGAGTTAGCACTTTTGGGGGTAGAAAACTTCCTACCTTCCTGGATGCTGTGTCCCCATTGTGCAGGAACCAAATTCAAACCAGCAACAGAGCTTGCACAGGTCTGTTCAGTGTGGGAGGTGGCTTTGCCTCCCACCACTGCTCCTTTAGCTACACGTTCTCAGAGAACACACCTAGAATTGTTCTGTTTTCCTCATGCACTGATCTTCTTGCCTGGGTTGGAAAAAATGAATCTCATTCCCCCGTAAAGCAAGCTCTGCTCTCATTTGACCAGCCTGCCTCCTTCTGAGGTGTCCAGAGATTTGAGGTTTCAAGAACTGAGATTAGAAAAATAAGTTGAGAATTGACTTGTGAAATCACCATACTTGTAAGGGCGCATTTTAGTGATTCATTGCTTCTATATGCCCCTCGACTTTCTGGATACACCCTGCTAAAACTTCTGATTCTTGAGTCCTAAGAAATGTCCAAATTGAGGGGAATAAAAATTTTGAGAATGCCTTTGGGACTGTGGTTTTGCTCACTTGAGGTGCCTTAAACTCTAAGAAAGCATACCAAAACAGCAGAGAGGACGGTGTCTGAATGTCCACTGGAAAGACTGCTTTGCACGAGAGGCAGATTGATGGGAAAGCAAACACTAAGAAGGGAGGTGCCGGCCGGGATGGAGCACCTGCAGAGCTCAGGCGCTGTCTGTCCCTGTCCACAGGACAGTGCCAAGGGCAGTTAATTACAAGGTTAGTCTTCAAGTGGGGAGGGGAGTCACCTTCTCTACTCTCTGAACTTAGAAAGGAGGGTTATGAGACCATCAGTCAGGGCATCTAGCACATACAGAACAAGTTGGATGCAGTAGGCCGTTTCTAGCCTGGGATATTGGGCAAATCCCACTTCAAGGAGAGTCCAACTGAGCTGGGAAGGGAGGTGCAGGTGGAGGAGAAAACCTGTGTGGTGAGGGGGCAACAGGGAGTGTCTAAGTAAGCAGGAGGAAGGGACAATTATCACAGATCAGCTCCTTGTCTCCTTTGTCTGAGAGCATGACTAATTCATGACTTCAGAGATTTTATGTCCAGGCTCATTGTGTTTGGATCAAGTCAAGGCTGGAAGGCAGGAGAATTTCTCCATTACTAAAGGAAGCCAAAAGCAATCTCCATGTATCATACCTTTCTAGCAGTTGGGGGTGATCTCATTATTTGTAAAGCCTAGCCCTGCCCACTCTGCAAGCTCACCTCGGGACCCAGCCCAGCCCATCTGCACAGCATATAAACCGCTGCCCTGAGCGCTTCACACTCATCTGCTCAGCTCTGCCCTTCAGCATCTCCGCTTCCCAGTCTTCTCATCTCCAGGAACCATGTCCACCAAGACCACTGTGCGGAGCCAAACCAGCAGCCACCGTGGCTTCAGCGCCAGCTCAGCCAGAGTCCCCAGGCTCAACCGCTCTGGCTTCAGCAGTGTGTCTGTGAGCCGCTCCAGGGGCAGCGGTGGCAGCGGGGCAGTGTGTGGAGGAGCCGGCTTTGGCAGCAGGAGCCTCTATGGTGTTGGCGGCTCCCAGAGGATCTCCATCGGAGGGGGCAGCTGTGGCATCGGAGCAGGATACGGCGGCCGCGTCTCAGGAGGCTTTGGCTATGGAGGAGGAGCCGGCAGTGGATTTGGCTTTGGTGGTGGAGCTGGTGGTGCCTTTGGGTTCGGTGGTGGAGCTGGCTTCGGTGGTGGCTATGGGGGCGCTGGCTTCCCCGTGTGCCCACCTGGAGGCATCCAAGAGGTCACCATCAACCAGAACCTCCTCACTCCTCTGAACCTGCAAATCGACCCCACCATCCAGCGGGTGCGGACTGAGGAGCGAGAGCAGATCAAGACCCTCAACAACAAGTTCGCCTCCTTCATCGACAAGGTGAGACACGTTCCTTAGTAGACAATCGAGTGTTTAAATGCTGAACAGGGGAGGCTTTAGGCTTTGCTCCAGTGCCACCGTTGTTTCTAGCTGGTTTTCTGTGGCTTTGTGCTCCTATTTAGGCTGGCCGATGAAAGGCAGGGTCTGATTTCCTCTCCTCCAGAGGCTGCCCCATAAGGGTGCCTGATCACAGTGCACAGGGATGAGCTCAGTGCCTCACATAACGGGAAGACTGCACAGAGGCAGAAGCAGCCGCAGGGCAGTCAGCTTCCCAGATCCCCTGCACTGGACCACACTGCAATGAGCCACTGCAGTGCTGGCTGTGCAGTGCAGGAGGGACTTGGCTTCAGTAGAGGGGGGATGTTGGGAGCTTCACTCCAGATTGTCCCTCTCAGAACCAGGGCCAGGCACTGCACACAGGGTGGGTTTGGGGAGATAGCCTGTGATGGAAGGCACCTGCTGGCGAAAGGGTCAGAAGCACAAAGCCCAGACTTGTCCTTCTCACACCCGGCCCTCTCCAGGTGCGGTTCTTGGAGCAGCAGAACAAGGTCCTGGACACCAAGTGGACCCTGCTGCAGGAGCAGGGCACCAAGACTGTGAGGCAGAACCTGGAGCCGTTGTTCGAGCAGTACATCAGCAACCTCCGCAGGCAGCTGGATGGGATCCTGGGCGAGAGAGGCCGCCTGGACTCAGAGCTGAGGAACATGCAGGACCTGGTGGAGGACTTCAAGAACAAGTGAGTGGGACAGTAGTGGAAAGAGAGGCATTGAGGGTTTTGTACCATACAAGCTTTGCAACTAGATTTCTCCTTATGCCTTCTCCATGGGCTAGAAGGATGTGCCTTCAGTGGATATCTACAGCACTAAGAGGAAAACAATCTAGGTCTTTGTTTAGAAAGTTCCAGCTCCAGGCTCAGCCTCTCCGTAAGGCACTTAGCCAACCCCAGAGCAGCCCTGTGTGATCCTAGCACCACCTGGTGAACTGTGCAGTACTGGAATCCCCAAATCCTGTGGCTCTTTTCCCAATGCACTCAAAATAGGCAGCATGGGCTTTGGGTCGTTTCTACTTAAAGTAGGAACGAATGGCAGCACCCAGCTCAATGTTTCTAAGAATTCCTTTACTCATGTGAATCATCACTGGGATGCTAGTGTTTTTGTTTCGGGGGAGGGGGTTGTTTGTTTTTGGTGGTGCTGGAGATTGAACTCAGGACTTCGTGCATGCTAAGCAAGTACTCTACCATTGAACTACACTCCCAATCTTACAAGAATATTGCTGAGTCGGGCTCTTCTGTTCCACAGGAACTGTCTCAGCTGCAAACCCATGTCTCAGACACATCCGTGATCCTGTCCATGGACAACAACCGCAGCCTGGACCTGGACAGCATCATTGCCGAAGTCAAGGCCCAGTATGAGGAGATTGCTCAGAGAAGCCGGGCTGAGGCTGAGTCCTGGTACCAGACCAAGGTGAGTGGTGAATAGGCAGCTACCGAGGAATGTCAAGGTCCCACTCTGAATTCCAAAAGTCCCTGAATTCACTGGAGGTTGGAGATTTACTGAAAAGAAGCTGGAGTCCTCTCACAGCAAACATAACTTTCACTTGTAGAATTCTTCTCTAGTCTAAGAAGCAAAAGTGCTAGAGGCAGAAGGAGAGCTGTTATGGATAAAGACCTTGCTGCCTTTGATTTAGTTTCCGTCTGAATACTAGCCCTCAGGAAACAGAACAGAGCACTGTCAGTCCCTAAGTAACTGTCAACTTATGGTCTGCTAAAGTGTCTCTTGACTTTAGATGATAAATGTCAATGTTATTTCATGCCTTACTTAGAAGTAAACTTGCTTGTTTGCATGTAAAAAACCGGTATGAATTTTCCCTCTTCAATTGACCCACAGTACGAGGAGCTGCAGGTCACAGCAGGCAGACACGGGGATGACCTGCGCAACACCAAGCAAGAGATTGCTGAGATCAATCGCATGATCCAGAGGCTGAGATCTGAGATCGACCACGTTAAGAAGCAGGTACGGAGACAGAAAGAATCGGAGGTTGTGTTCATTATTTCCAGTCTCCTAGACTTGACCTTATAGGTACAAAGATCTAAGGCTAACCCTCTCTACAGAAGCACACTTCAAGTTCATTTCTCTTGCTCTCCCTACCCAGTGCGCCAACCTGCAGGCCGCCATTGCTGATGCTGAGCAGCGTGGAGAGATGGCCCTCAAGGATGCCAGGAGCAAGCTGGAAGGGCTGGAGGACGCCCTGCAGAAGGCCAAGCAGGACATGGCCAGGCTCATGAAGGAGTACCAGGAGCTCATGAACGTCAAGCTGGCCCTGGATGTGGAAATTGCCACCTACAGGAAGCTGCTGGAAGGAGAGGAGTGCAGGTGGGTAACTCACACCTCCATCCTCTGGGGACATCTCCAGAGCGTGAGGCACCGAGCACAAGGCTGGGCAGCACCAGCTGTGGCCATATGGCTACTGTCGGGATGAACGGTCTCCAGAGTGAGGCTTCCCACAGGGTTGGGGTGATGGCTGCCTAGTTCTCACCTGCTGTGTTCCTGCCCTAGGTTGAATGGTGAAGGTGTCGGACCAGTCAACATCTGTAAGTACTGAGCTGCCTGCCTCCCCGCCCAGCCCTTGGGACCCGGATCAGTGGACAGAGCGAGCTCATCGTGTTTGTTGTGTCCTCTCCCCCTTACAGCTGTGGTGCAGTCCACCGTCTCCAGCGGCTATGGCGGCGCCAGCGGTGCGGGCAGTGGCTTCGGCCTGGGTGGCGGAAGCAGCAGCTACTCCTACAGCAGTGGCCATGGCCTTGGCGGGGGCTTCAGTTCCAGCAGTGGCAGAGGCGTCGGGAGTGGCCTCAGCTCCGCCGGTGGCAGCTCTTCTACCGTCAAGTACACCACGACCACCTCCTCCAGCAGGAAGAGCTACCGGCACTGAAGTCCTGCTCCAGGGCTTGGTCCCCTGACCCCTGGTCCCCTTGGCTGCAGACCCTCTGCTCAGGTGCTAGTCTTGCTGGCCTCCACCTCTGCTCTCTAGGTGGAGCTGAGGGGCCACATGTCTCATTACTCCTCTGAATCTGCTCCTCCTGGGTGCCCATTGCTCAGCTTTAGACCTCAACCTCTGACTTCACATCACAATCCGATCACATTTGGTGCTTCTGTTGTATCTAGATTACCAGGCTCCTGCCTCCCGACTTCTGTTTCTGAGGCCTTCTGTGAGAGGGTATCTCTCTCCATTTCATTCTGGAAATCATTGTCTGGGTTCTACTTGAGAGAAGGGGAAGCTCCCCTTTAGTTTCCAGGTCTGAGGAAACCCCATTTCCAGTGTTGGGAACCTCCCTGGCAGTAACTGTGATAGCACAAGTGACCAGTCCTGTGACGTACAGAGTCTGTGCCCTTCTCTGATCTTTGCTTTCTGGTAATTGCTAAATAAAGCAGATTTATAATATAATGCCTTCTTCCACGTTGCTTTCATTGGATCCTAGAGTTCCTTCATTACCATATGATAAATAATTTTTAGGGATTTAGCTATTTCCCGTGTGTTTCCTTCATTTTCTTCAGAGACGATCAACAAGTAGCAGTTCAATGTGTTTTCCCAAAGTCATTGTCTTCTTGGCGAATGACTACAGGCTCACAGTTCGTGCCTACTTGTGCTTACCTGTCTCCATTAGGAGGTGGTGAAGTCCTTCTGAATTGATCTCTATCATCTCTTCCTACTCACTGTAGTTCTCAGCCAAAATTTCCAGTTGGAGAAGCATATTGTTGGCCAAGGAGCCAAAGTCCTTTGAAAAGGGAACAAAATACTTGTTTACAGTTACAGTTGCCTTGGTGACCACGAAACTTTCCTGATTACAAAGGTCAATAGCAGTTAAAATGTGTCTTAGCTGGAGCTCTCCCTCTAGAAATGCAGCCCGATGACTCAGTACAAATGCAGTAGGGTGTGTGGACAGGGATGTGCAGCACAATATCCTCATCTGAGGAAAACTGGATGTGTTCAATCAGTCTTGTCACATGAAGGACCCAAAGACGCATGAAAAACATGAAGTTCTTATTTTGTGACCTGTGAATGTAATGCAAGAATTTGTCATCATCGTGAGTTTTAACCCTGTCTTCACAGCCACTCAAAGAACTGGAGTCTCCATGTAGGGGTCAGATATGATGGTTCCTTCATTCTCAGGAGCGGTCTGTCCGGGTTTTACTTCTGTACATGGTGATAGAAAACTCAGAGCAGCCTGAGGTCCATCAGCTGACTTGCCAATCTTTGAAACACATGCTGAAAAGTTGGAAATGGAGACGATACAGTTGATGTGCCCCAGCAGCAGACAGGAGGCAGCTACTGAAAAGGGAGCCTGCCACTTTACTCCAGGCTTTTGTTATAGACCAACAACCCATTCTCAGTTAGAAAGCTGTAATTTGGCCACAGCACACCCCACTATTACAGTCTAGTTTTCTCTATTCTTTCGTTTTCCTTCCCTATTCCTTTCTTGTACATAAAGTAACTGGTGTAGGTGCACGAGCATGTTGCACTTTTTTCTTTGTAATCTAAATGCTGGTGTTATGTTTTGGTTGATATGAAATGGAGATGGTATGGGAAGCTCTCCTTGTCCATTAGCGGTCTGCCTAGTCAGCTCTTATCTTTATATTGCAGCTATTTTGCTACTTTGCTCTCATTGTTTCACCAAAAAACCAACACCACAAAGCTCTTGCATGCCTTGTTTAATTGGAGAATTTATTATTGTAAAACCAAGGAACATTTTATAACTTTTTTTTTGCGCAGCTTACATGTAGGGCAGTCTGTCTTTAAGTAAGTGATTCTCAGTGAATCAGATAGGAATAATCAGGTTGTAGCAAGTCCTGAATACACAGAGATGCTAATCACACATCATGTGAACTCCAATCATCATTTTTTATCTGCCCTCCAATAGGAGGAACAGGTAAGGATTATCCCACCTGACAATGTTAAATTACTCTGGAAAGAAAATAAATCCTAAGTAGTTTTCCTTCAAGTGAAATGTCTTGTTGTTTAAATAAACTTCTTGTTTAAAATGAAAAAAAAAAAAGGATAATAGAATCAATGGGACAAATAGTTGTTTCTGTGAAAAGATTGACAAAACCTTAACCAAACTCCTGAAAGGGTTGGAACGATCCAGATGAATTAGATTAGAGATGAAAAATGAGTTATTACAATAGATGACAATGAAACCCAGAAGATCATTAAGGAATACTTAGAAAATCCATATTCCAAAACGCTGGAAAATTGAGAATAGATACAAATGTATCTAAAATGTATCCAAACACAAATGGACTACAAAAAAAGAAAATTCAGGGGGCTGCAGAGATGGCTCAGCGGTTTAGAGCACTGGCTGCTCTTGCAGAGGACTCAGGTTCGATTCCCAGCACCCACATGATGGCTATGAACCTTAACTCCAGTTCCAGGGGAATCTGATGCTCTCTTCTGACTTCCGCAGCATTGCACGACATGGGTGCACTCACATACATGCAGACAATACACTCATACACATAAAATAAAAATAATAAAATATATTTAAAAAATAATTCACGAGGATTGAAAAAATAAGCCGATATATAATAAGCAAAGAGAATGAAGCAGTAATTTAAAAATCTTTCAACTAATAAAAGCCCCAAATCAGGCAGATTCACAACTGAATTCTTCCAGCCCTTTAAGGAAGAACTGACACTAATGATCCTCAATTTGTTCCATTAAATACAAAGAGAAAGAATGCTATCGACTTCATCTTATGAAGCCAGTATTACCCTGACACAAAAAGTGAATAAGGGGCGGGAGAGACGACTCAGCGGCTAAGCGCATTGGCTGTTCTTGCAGAAGACTCGGGTTCAAATCCCAACACCCACATGGCAGCTCACAACTGTCCGTAACTCCAGTTCCAGGGGATCCAACAGCCTCTTCTGTTCTCCTCAGGCATTGCACGACACAGATGCACTTACCTACATGCACGCAATACACACATACACATGAAAATAATAAAATATATTTTTAAAGAAAGTGGATAAGTACACAACAAAACGGAAAGCTGTGGACCAATTTCTCTGATAAACATAGACACAAAATTCTCAAAAAATTCTTGCACACTGCAAGAACAGATTTAATAGATTAGATCACACATCATGATCCAACTGATTTTATTCCAGAGATTCAAGTATGGTTCAACATCTGCAAATAAATTAATGTAAATTATTTGGGGGATAGAACTCATATGATCATCACCATAACTACAGCACAGCATTTGACAGATGTGATGGTTAATCTTTTATTTTGTTTTATTGACACAGGGTCTCTGTATGTAGCCCTGGGCTGGCCTGGAACTTGGCATGTAGACCAGGGTATCCTCAGACTCACAGAGGTCCACCTGCCTCTGCCTCTCATGCTTCAGGATTAAAAGCTACCATAGTCAGCTGTGATGGTTAATCTTAATTTCCAATTTGAAAGAAGTTAAAATCACCCAGGATACAATTCTCTAAGTGCATCTTTGAAGGTATTTCAGAGAGGTTCAATGGAGGTAAGACAATGCACCCTTGATGTGGGGAGCAACATTCATGGGCGAGGGTCCCAGTCTGAATCTAAAGGAGAAAACGAGTAGAACTCTGCATTTATCTCTCTGCCTCTGACCAGACACAAGATAACTCATATCCTTGTCACTATGACTCTTCTACCATGATGGAGTGTGCCCTCAAATTGTAAGCTAAAACGAACCCTAACTTCATGGGAGCTTGTGCCCAGGTTCCAGAACCACTGAAACCAAGCAGTGCAGGGTAGGCTCAGATTCCCTGCAAGAAGGCCTGGAGAAGTCATTTCATGAGACTGGGAAGGTGAGGTCCAAGTTGAAGTGGCTGTTGATGATGCTAGGTCTGTGGGAAATCCATAGGGAGAGCCGCAGACAGAGTGGAGCTGGGCCGAGAGAGAGACTACGTGTGCTACAGCTGGCAGAACCGGAGGGGAAGGACTGCCCAAGGCTGCCGGAGACCATTTATTCCATCACAGGACTCAGATGGCGGTTCTGGAGCTGCAGGGACTGGTATCCGCCCACTGCATTTCGGTCTTGCTTTGCTTGGTCTTTTCTTGCCATTCTCCCATTCTTCCATTTGGATGGGAATGTCTACTCTGTGCCAGGGGACACTGGAAGAGTGCGTCTTGTGTTTTCCTTTGACTGGGGCTCACCGTTGTTAATCACAGGAATTGTCCGAGGCTCAGAAGAGACTCTTGTTTTTGTTTGTTTTTGTGTTTGAGACAATGTCTCCCTGTCGTCCCTGCAGGTCTGGAACTCACTACGTAGACCAGGCTGGCCTCAATCTCACAGAGATCC